TCAAAACAAAGTATTGCGTTTTCTACGGGAAATCGGCATATAAGGAGGGGAATTCGATGAAGTTAAAGGTATAATGTTATACAAAAAGCTAGAAATTCCTTTAGGTTCGCGCCTTGGAAATGTTGCCAATAGTGGACACGGCGGTCAAGAATGGATTTCGGAATTTCTTGGTGAAATGCGGCACGCATAAATTCTACGTGAACGTGGCGCTGCTCATGGATTATGAGGGCATCGTATTTGAGAGCTGGAAGAAGAATCAGGACGAGGGATTAGAAGAAGCGGGTGAGGAATGCTTTCTTGCAAATTTGATGCAAACGTTTTAGTGATCCCCGACGACCCGTCCGTCAGGAATTTTCTAAATTCATTTCTGCGCTATGACAAGCTGTTGATACACAGGTTGGTGAGGTTTTTAAAAGCATGACTAGTGATTTTTAGTGGAAATTGGTTGGATGTTTGCCAGCATGCCTCATTCGTCAAGTCGACCAAGATTTTGCGAGCGGTACGTTTTCGGATCTGGTTCGTTAGCGGGGGGTGGGGGAGGATAAAGTAATCCCCCCGCTAATGAACCAGAACCAGATTGTTTATAAATTCTAGAATATGTCGTTTTTCAGGTCGAGCAGTTCCTGATCGACCTCAAAACGATGCACCCGATGAAGAAGCTGGAAATTGCCGCCGACCTGAAGTTCAGCCGACTTTTCATGCAAGCGCGGACAGAGTTGGGGCGCCCACCCGTGGCTAATAGAACGTTAGTTTTAAAGTCTATTGTTTTGAAGGCTAGTCAAGAACGCGCGGCCAAAATTCCGTTTTATTTTGGATTGATATCAGCGCAACAGCCAAACGCTCCCGTTCATACCATCCCCAGTTTTTTTAGCATGATGGATTACGCGCACGAGACGGGCTTCTCGCTCGACCACATTCACCCAACCGTCCAAAAGCTGCGCATCGTCACGCCCGACTATTTGGTGTATTTGTGATTGATCGTTTTCGGGGTTTTTGCATGTTCTACGGGTTTATGTTTTGTCAATTTGGTAATAAAGCCGGTGCTTTGACGGAAATGATAAAAAAATCCTAGCCATGTGGGTTTTGCAAAAAGGAGGCTCCAGAATTAAAAATTGGACTGTTTACTTACTTTAATAGTATTCTTAGCAAAATTGACTGTATTTCAAGTAGAAAACCATCTAAACGATGGAGAAATTAGAAGAATCTAATTTGTGGCCGAAATGTCGATATTTTTGTATTTTTAAATACAATTTGTGAATTGAGACCGTTCCGTTTTTTTCTAAAATCCGATGGTTTTTGTATTTTTAGCAAACATTTCCCAGCTTTTGCGGTTAGGAATAGTATGGGCAGTTTCAAAACGCTTTCCCTATTTATATAGATGGATTGGATTCTAAGGAAAGAGCCCGGGAGCAACAAGATTAGTATGTGTGTACGGGACCACTTCGCACGCCCCGCCCTTTTTAGGTAGTTCTGCAAGCGTGTCCAAAGCACACGTACCAAAAAGTGCACGAGGAGAATGGGGGTCTTTCTAGGAATACCCCCCCGGGCCCCGATGAGCCATACTTGTTCTACTCGCCGGCCTCGAGGAGAGAAAAAAGATCCGAGCAGCGGCGACACAAACTTGACCGCCCGATTCAGCACCTGATTGCCCCCGGATTACTAATAAGACGGGGGCGAACAAATTGGTCTGGGAAATAATAGAGTTGTTTAATAGATAAATAATCCGGTTCTGGTTCACTAGCAAGGAGCGGGCGAACGCTTTTCAAGGTTTCCAGAGGGCCTCTACAATGGAAAAGAAACTATTTTAATCCCCGTTTACACTCTTTCCAGATCTCAAAAGCTCATGAAAATTTAGAAAATTTTGTTATGTTTCAGCAGAATGTTGCTTATGCTGCATAAAGGACCCCCCACTAACGAAACAGAACCAATAATCGAGGGAAAGAAGACTAGAGACAACCGAAATTACGAATTGCTATCAGGGGCATTTGCACTTTTTCTAGCGCTAGGGGCGGAATTTATATGAGGGATTTGATAGTGGGGTGGCTGAATGGATGCCACAGGTGATCAACATGGAGATTTGGAGGGGGGCGATTTGCGGAAGAGAAGTGCATGTTACCGTAGCGGCACTACAATGCGCTAGTTTTGATGGTGTCGATTTGAGTGGGACTTGCCAAATATAGTGCTTGCAGTGCTTTGGTGTTATGCCGAGATCTAGGATTTATAGGTGCAAAAGTTTTGCCTGGAGTTTTGGGAGCCTACCACAGCAAATAGATCCATCTACAATTACGGAAAGTACCTCGCAAGCTACGGTACGATGTCTGTGTTTTTAATAATCCGGCGGGGGGATTGCGGTGGTGACACATCTTTTAGACGCTATCCGCTGCGTTTTGCAAGAATTTTTAGGTGGAAAAATGCTGGTAATACCCAGGTTGCGCGTTTTCCAGTTTTTCGCGGACGTAGTAGCATTTTATTAAATCGGAAACTTAGGAATTTTCGAAAACGCGCGTTTTTTTTGGCCAAAAACGTATTAAAAATGGCCGAAAAATGTTAAAATTTTCGAATTTTCCAAATTAAAAATTTTTGTAAAACTGTTTAGCAATAAAAACTAATGAAAACACAATAGAAATACATTATATATTATTAACAATTGCTCTAGCTTTAAAAGTTAAAATTTTAAGTTTCAGGTTTTAAGTTTTAAATTTAAGTTAGTTGCAGTTAAAAGTTTTAAAGGTTTAAAGTTTAAACGGTTAAAATACTCACTTTAGGGCAATACAAAAAAAAATGTGAAATCAAGGAATCCTAATCCGGAAACCGGAAGCGGGAGTCGGCAATATTGCGGGGATCCAATTTTGCCTAGGCCATAATCGAAAAGGTGAAGACGGGCGGATGGGGCCCTCTTGATGCCGCTGTCTTGGCCACCTGCGCGGGAGACATCGACACGCCAAAAAAGAAGAAGCGGAAGAAGGAGAGGAACATATTGATCCCGAATACCCAATGGTCGCCCATCATTACCGAGTCACACAGGTGCACTCGACGAAGACGCCGCCGCCGGAAACCATGGGGATCCCGTCGTTCGTGTGAATTTTTTAGGGTAATTAGATAGGTTGGGGAGGGTTCGGTGCTTTTGCATTATCGGGGGGGGGAGGCGGAGGGCTAGTGTTTTGTATAGGCCCAGACATTATTTCGCTATATTTCCAGTGGAAAAGCTATTTAAAAACGAAAAAATTGAACAAAATGCGAAATACTTGGTCGAAATCGCGGTATTTTTTGTATTTTTGATAAAATTTGTAAAGTTAATCACTTGCAAATGCTAAAAAATGGCATAACTCTTGACATTAAAAGCAAGGAAGGGAAATCATTTGGTGGAAACCATTTGATGAGGATTTTTGAACAGAATTTTGCGTAGGTTGCCGGTAAACAAGCAATAATTCGGGGGTTAAAACGAGGTAACCATCCGAAAAAGAAGGAAAGACGCGAAGAGTGTTGAGTCGCCACCGGGCGGTGGATTATGTTTTTGTGTAGTTTGTGACTCGTTTTTAGCCCGTCGATCAAAAAGGGGAAATTTCGCCGATTTACGCCAAATTCCGGTTCCTCCGCCCTTCGGCCGGGGTTGCCCCGTCACGTGGCGCCCAATTTTCGGAGGGTAAATTTACGCGGAAATTGATATGCAGTGAGTGGGCGGCTGACAATCAATTTGGGGTGGGTGATAAGCCAGAGGGTCGGGGTGGGGGGGAAGTGGATCAGCCAGTTTTCGTCATTTCACGAGAGGAGGTGGTGGGCAATCGACCGTCTAGGAGGGGCTGATTGTGAACGATTCTTTAAAGATTTTTAGAGCCTCTGAGGGGTATGGTAATTTTTATCTAGTTTTTTTTTTGGCGTACTGTGGCATCCTGACGTATTCTTTAAAGGCCGGGCAAGGTAGAGCTATGAATTTTGTTGGGTAGGTATTTCATGTGGATTTCCCGAGACCGCGACGCGCCAGGGTAATGTTTCTCCGAAATTCCTTTGCATAATGGAAGACTATACCTTTATAACGACCAACGGTGTGCGTCGCGGCTCGCTGTTTCAGGAAAATCCATAGACAGCCAAATCTAATCCTTGCGCGCCCCTTTAAAGGTCTCGGCAAGGCGCAGCCATGATTTTTTTTTCTGGAGTTGGACCGCAAATATCTTGTCTCGCGCCCGCAACACGCAACGCACACGCCCGTCGTTCCATTGCACAATGAATTACGAACGCCTAAGCGAGCCGCGTCCGCATCTGCGTTGCATTTCGGGAGCGCGGCAAAATCCAAAGAGAATCCATAGCCTTAATCCGCTACATTCAAGAATCAGGATATCGGAATGGCGCGAGAAAGAAAGCACGCGGAAATACGTGGCGTTCGCGTCGCGCATCGCGCCGGCTTCTCGGGTGAAGCCGCGACGCCCCTGTTACGCGCGCTCATCGGGCATTTCCGCAAATTCTGAGCATAAATTCCCGTAAATTAGGATTGGAGCGTAGCATTCGGGTGAAAAAGGAGGCGAATCCGGGGGCCTGAAAACCTTCAAAATATCCAAGAAAATGGCTAAAAAAATTCGACTGTAACCTCAGGAAGTAGGGTTTTTGAAAGTTATATGGCCCTATACCTTTAAAAAATTTGTGGAGTAGCCAGAGAACCGATAACAGTTTTCCAGCGTACTTTAGCGAACTAGAAACGAGCCCGGAAAACAGTTTCGAGCCCCCCGCGAGACAAATATGGGTGTTTCGGAAAAGTGTGGGGAGAAAATGATTCGTCTGCCCTCTACCAATCACTCTCCGCGAACCCCGACGTCGCGTCGAGAATATCTTCCACGTGAGGCTGCTGCCGCGAAAAACGACTGTCGCCCCCATTTTTGGTGGTTTGAACTCTGATTTTTGGGGACTCTCTCCTTTACCGTCGACTCCGCCCCCCTTGGAGGCGTCGCGGCCCGGAATGCCGCGTAGCCGCTGCAGCGACGTCGGGGAAAAGTGAGTAGAGTTTTGACATGGGGGAGGAGGAGTGGGAGATTGATCTACTCGTGCTGATCGTCGCCCTCAAAGCGTCAGGATTACCGCCCGCTGACCCCTCGGTCGGATTGGAAAGGAAAAACGGGGGGAGCGAGACCTCGTGATTGACCCAAACTATGGAACGGGGGACAACACCTCTTTTTGGAATGTTGCAAACAGTACCAAAAATTTCTTAAAAAGGAAAGATTAGCAGAAATTCTTGGAGGAATTGGGAGAGGGCAGGCTAGCAGAGATTCTTTGAGGAATTGGGAGAGGGCAGGCTAGCAGGGATTCTTTGAGGAATTGGGAGAGGGGAGGCTAGCAGAGATTCTTTGAGGAATTGGGAGAGGGCAGGCTAGCAGAGATTCTTTGAGGAATTGGGAGAGGGGCAGGCTAGCAGGGATTCTTTGAGGAATTGGGAGAGGGGAGGCTAGCAGAGATTCTTTGAGGAATTGGGAGAGGGCAGGCTAGCAGAGATTCTTTGAGGAATTGGGAGAGGGCAGGCTAGCAGAGATCCTTTGAGGAATTCGAAGAGGACAGGCTAGCAGAGATTCTTTGAGGAATTGGGAGAGGGCAGGCTAGCAGGGATTCTTTGAGGAATTGGGAGAGGGCAGGCTAGCAGAGATTCTTTGAGGAATTGGGAGAGGGCAGGCTAGCAGAAATTTTTGAGGAATTGGGAGAGGGCAGGCTAGCAGAGATTCTTTGAGGAATTGGGAGAGGGCAGGCTAGCAGAGATTCTTTGAGGAATTGGGAGAGGGCAGGCTAGCAGAGATTCTTTGAGGAATTGGGAGAGGGCAGGCTAGCAGAGATTCTTTGAGGAATTGGGAGAGGGCAGGCTAGCAGAAATTCTTTGAGGAATTGGGAGAGGGGAGGCTAGCAGAGATTCTTTGAGGAATTGGGAGAGGGCAGGCTAGCAGAGATTCTTTGAGGAATTGGGAGAGGGCAGGCTAGCAGAGATTCTTTGAGGAATTGGGAGAGGGCAGGCTAGCAGAGATTCTTTGAGGAATTGGGAGAGGGCAAGCTAGCAGAGATTCTTTGAGGAATTGGGAGAGGGCAGGCTAGCAGAGATTCTTTGAGGAATTGGGAGAGTGCAGGCTAGCAGAGATTCTTTGAGGAATTGGGAGAGGGCAGGCTAGCAGAAATTCTTTGAGGAATTGGGAGAGGGAAGGCTAGCAGAGATTCTTTGAGGAATTGGGAGAGGGCAGGCTAGCAGAGATTCTTTGAGGAATTGGGAGAGGGCAGGCTAGCAGAGATTCTTTGAGGAATTGGGAGAGGGCAGGCTAGCAGAGATTCTTTGAGGAATTGGGAGAGGGCAAGCTAGCAGAGATTCTTTGAGGAATTGGGAGAGGGCAGGCTAGCAGAGATTCTTTGAGGAATTGGGAGAGGGCAGGCTAGCAGAGATTCTTTGAGGAATTGGGAGAGGGCAGGCTAGCAGAAATTCTTTGAGGAATTGGGAGAGGGCAGGCTAGCAGAAATTCTTTGAGGAATTGGGAGAGGGCAGGCTAGCAGAAATTCTTTGAGGAATTGGGAGAGGGCAGGCTAGCAGAGTTTCTTGGAGGAATTGGGCGGGTAGCTGTAGGTTCCGATGCGAGAATGCGTTTCCCGTGTGAAATTGACCGGAAAGGGTCAAACTTTTGCAGGGGCGGTGGCCAGGATCTTTCCGCAGGATCGGTTCTCTAAAAATCTAAGAATCTTTCAGCCACTACTACAGTTTTCACAACGTTCCGGGCTCCTATAAAAACCTCGAATTTTCTCGGATCTTCCGCATTTCCTCTAGACACCAAGATGACCAGGCGGACAGTGGCCAGGCGAGTGGCCGCTGTAAATTTGCATAAGGCCGAAGGGAAAATGGGGTCCTCAAGATGGGGTCTTGAGGGCTTGCAGCTGGGTGGGGGACACTGGGGTGGACAGCAGATAGACACAGGAAGCATCGCTTCTCTTTCTTTCGACTGATGGAGCAGAAGCCGATGGCAGCCCCGATTTCTACCGTAACCCGGCCGGCGAAGACCCTTGTATGGGAATGGCCTCTGCAGGGTGGCGATGGGAGGGCTCAAGTTCAACTCGACGCCAGGTCGTTCCAGGTACGGTAACGTTTTTAAGCTTATAAAATCAGGTTTTTTTGGCTTAGTTTTTTCAGCTAGCATCGATAAATCAATAATTAAAAAATCTTTAAAATCTACATTAAATTAAATCATGAAATCTAAATCTACATTATACGCGAAATTTCGCAATTAAGCGGAAAACGCTTTCCCAAAGAATCACTGGCAGATCGCCCTAATTGATCTTCCGAAGCACAAAAAAATACTATGTTGGAAGTGCTATTAATTTTTAAGATTTTAAGCTCCTCTAAATTTTTAAAAAAATGTTATATGAAGGATTTCACGAAAAAGAAAATTGTGGCAATTTTGTCGGCATTTCGAAATTTTTCGACATTACTTTGGTGTTTTTGTTAGAAAGTCGGACGCCCAGAATTCGGTGGCTCACACCAAAAATCACTGCTAAATGTAAACATTTTACTCCTGGCGATACTAAAGATCGGGTGGGGGGGAGGGCCCGACACGGGGTTCGGATCATTTGCCACGTGTGTTTGCTTTCAAAAGTTTTTTGGGGGTTGCCCATATACATTGAATGGTTGCAGGTGGCCCTCGACGCAAAGTACTTCACATCTAAGGATATTTCGGTGAGTGGAAGACAGGGGGACTGATAAAAAAGCCGCTGCCACGACGTTTAAATTCCAAAATAATCTCTGCTAGCTTCGCGTTCTCGAAAACTGCATGAATAGAAGCCATATTCTCTCTCTTTCTCTCTCTCTCTCTCTATCACTCTCTCGCTCTCTCTCTATCTATATCTCTCGCTATCTCTCACCATCGCTCACTCACTCTCTATTTCTCACTCTCTCTATCTCACCTACTCTCTATCTCTCACACACTCTCTCTCACTCTCACTCTCTCTTTGCCACTTTTCAAGCGTCACTAAATTACATGGTCTCCAGGTGAAAGTGCTCGGGGACATGGTCGAAATTAGGATGGAGCACGAGGCGACTGGAGCCTTTGGAGGTGTCAAACGGAGCGTCACCCGGTAAGGAGTTATATACTGTCACCATCTCTTTAAAAGGAATTCTATTTTAGACGAATTTTCGGATCTTAAAGGAGCTGATAAGCCATCTTTATCGGGTTTTCCACCCCCTCTAAATTGTTATATTGTTCCAGTTGCTACCGACTGCCGGAGAAGATCGACCCGGCGACGATCAAGAGCGAGCTGAACAAGGACGGCCAGCTGGTGATCAAGGGCACCCGGAAGCCCTTCTGACTAGCCAAGATTGCACCATGTTTCCGAGCTGACCATTGACGCCTTTTAGAAGTGTATAAGTCGATAAATATTTATTATTTGATGCTATAAAAACCCGTCGATTTGTTGAAAAGCGCACAAGTAGCGAGCGGGAAAAGAGGAAGGGAGAGGGGGAGACGGCGAGAGAGAGCGAGAGAGTGAGAGACGGCGAGAGTGAGTGAGAGAGAGCGAGAGAGTGAGAGCGAGTGAGAGAGCGGGAGAGACCGCGAGAGCGGGAGAGAGAGAGAGAGCGGGAGATAGCGAGAGAGAGAGAGCGATAGATAGAGAGAGAGATAGAGAGAGAGCGAGAGAGAGCGGGAGATAGCGGGAGAGAGAGCGATAGATAGAGAGAGAGACAGAGAGAGAGATAGAGAGAGAGAGCGAGAGAGCGAGAGAGAGAGAGCGGGAGATAAGTGCGGTGGCAAAGAAATGGTACACCAAGAAAGTCGCCAAAAATGAAAAAATCGCTCTGGAAAAGGGACAGGTGACTCTTGAAATTCCGATTTTCTATTTCAACCCTAAAATGCGGCTAAGCCCAACAAAGGCCAAAGTTTCTTCTGTTCCTCTGCCGTTGTGTCTGCTATGTATTCGTAGGTGTACATGTACTTTCATTTTTATTCTTCGACCGAACAGAGTACACAAATAGTCACAATTGAATTCGAGGGAAAGAAAAGACAAATACAAAAAGAAAGATCACAAGTGAATTAATGGGGGATGGGTCTTTCATTGGCCCTCGGTGACGGTGGTGCCCTTCGGCCTCTTCCTCCTGCCCTCTCGCTTGATGCGGCCTCCGGAAGCTGGCGGCTCATCGGGGGAGACAGTCTTTTCGCGCTTCGGCTTCTTCTGTGGTCCTTTCCGATTCGGTGTTGGTGATCCGGAGGGGAGATCGACGGATCCCTGATGCACCGAGGCACCGCCCAGCCCCTTCCTGACCGAGCTGTCTTGTACGGGCGGAGGCTGGCGGTTGTTGAGAGACTCCAGCTTCCGGGCCACCTGAAAAATTTTGTATTGATCGATAGAGGGATATCAGATTTTGACCCAAACTGGCCGAAATCGCTGCTCACCTCCGTCATGCTGTAGCGCCGGTTAACGTCCTTGTCCCAACAGTGCTGCTTGATGAGGGAGACGATCTCTTGGTTGGCGAGTGAGGGGAATTGTAGCAGCTCGCCGGCGACGATCTTCTGCTTGATGTGCGGGTTCGGCTCGCCGGCGTACGGCTCGTCCCCGTTTGTCATCACCTCCCAAACTAAAACAAGATATTGGAGGAGTTCAGACCGGTAATCCGCTTACCGAGTACGCCGTACGCCCAGACGTCGCTCTTCGGGGTGTAGGTGAACGTCTGGATGGTCTCTGGGGCTAGCCATCGAATCGGCACCTTGCGCACCGTCTTCATCGCGTACGCGTCGCCCTCGCGCGACAGCCCAAAGTCGGAGATCTTGACGAGGTGCTCATCGTTGACGCGTACGATCAGGCAATTTCGGGCGGCCAAGTCACGGTGGATGATGTGCTTGTGGTGGAGATATTCGATGCCCCACGCCGCGTCCTGAAGATCAAAAAAATACAGATAAATCCAAAAGCAAGACCCCAGATAAGGTATAAGCTCCAAAAAGCACACACCTGGATGTAAAGTAGGCGCTGATCGGGCGGTATTCTGACAGACTGTGTGCGTAGATGCTTGTCGAGCCCTCCTCCGTCCACCAACTCCATGACGATCATCAACGGATCCCTCTCGACGACCACTCCGTAGATTTTGACGACGTTCGGATGTTCGAAGTCGCGCATCAGCCGAGCTTCCTTCATCACCTCCTTGATCTTCTCCTTCGAGATGATGTCCTTCCGGGCCACCTTGATCGCCACGTCCACCTCGCGGTCGCGCAGCTTCAGTTTGCCCTGGTGAACGTCGCCGAATTCGCCTGCAAAAAGCGATTGTTTAGGCAAAAAATCCAGATTTTTCACCAAAAGCATCTTCACAATTTTCCCCATTGCTGATGCCCCCGCTAAGAGAGAAGCTCCAAATTTTACTTTTTGCTGCGTTTCTGGACAAGTAGGAAAAATTAAGACTAGAACGTACCTTCGCCAAGCTTCCTGCCGGTGATGACATTGTCAGCCCGCAGTTCCCACGATGGCCTGTTGATGGCGTTGAGGAGGATGGTGTTGGGGATCTCCTTCTTGAGCGGCACGCGTCTGCTCTTGTATTCCTGGACGAGCTCGTCGATGGTCGGCTTCGAGATGGTCTTGTCGATCGTGAACAGGTTGGGCGGCTCCTTCTCTTGGGTGATGACGTAATGCCCAAGCTGAAGTAGTCAAAGTTAAATTCAGCAATTTGAATGTAAATTTACCTTGATCTTCTTATCTTGGTAGGCGAGGGAGAGGATGGTGCGTCGCTCTTCGCCGGTCTTCACCTGGGTCGATCGGAGTAGATAGTCGCCCTCCTTCGCGAGCAGTAACGGCAGATCTTCTCTCGGCAGCAGCCCGTGGTAGTAATCGAGCACGTCGAGGCCCGGTACGGCCATCCCGTTCGGCGAGTATATGACGGGCCACGGTTTCCAGTTTTTCTTATAGTTTGGATCTTATTCAAATCAAGGCGGATTTCCGGAAGTAGCAGCGGTTCATGGGGAATCGTATGCTAATTTTCATTCCGGATTTGTATGCAAATCGTGGATAGCCACGATCATCATGGTGTCGGCCATCATAATGTCGAATTTTTAGAATGTCGAAACTTCAGAATATCGACATTTTGACGAATTTTTTTCACATAAAATTTGTGGTTTTGCGGGGAGGTTCGTTTATGTAAATTGGGACATTCTGAAATTTTGGCATATTACCTTTTGCCTTTTTGCATTTTTATGGTATTTGCGAGCTCTTCTTTGTGTACCGTTATTGTCACAAGAGAGGGAGGAGGAGGAGGGGGAGAGAGAGAGAGAGAGGGAGGGAGGGAGAGAGAGAGAGAATTAGAAAGAGACATGCATCCCGATTACCGTATCCTTTCAGGCCTCCAGAATCCGCTGCAGTAACCTCGATAATCGCCTAAAATAGCATAAATTTTGCCCTTCACTACCCCTTCAAATGCCAATTTTGGAGACCCATCCCCCAGGCTTGATTTATTTGCCATAGTGGCGGTGAGGATGAGCCTCCACCACTTTATTTGAGGGCGGCTAGATTGCGAGTAGCCCTCTCTCTCTCTCTCTCATTCTCTGTCTCTCTCTCTCTCTCTCCCTATAGCCTCGGCTATGGCCGCCGGTCCCTTTAATTGCCGAGGTTTTTTTGGGGGTCTGCCCATTTTCAGCGGTCCTCAAAGAACCCGAGTGGTGGTGTATAGCCGTTCTTTGCCGTGCCGCGTTTCCGACCGCTTTTCAAGCCCCGATTTGCCGGTGTTCCTCGCCCTTTTCGTACCTTCATATGTCTATTTTTGAAAATTGATACCCAAAATCGGATTTCCATACTTGCGGCACATCCTAATTTTCGTTTTGCGGTTGAGAGCCAGAAATTTGTGTGTTTTTTTGGCTAAAAACAGTTGGTATTGCTTTTTTAAAGGCACCTCGCCACCTGAAAGGCCATCGAGCAGAGATTATTGAGGGAGCTGACTAGCGAGTAGTCTCTCACTCGAAAGGCCCGTACTACTTTAATTTGTAATTTCTAAGCTTCTAAAGGGACTGGTAGTGCCGGTAGACCAACTAGCAGAGGCTTTTGAGGAAGCGAACCGGACCGTAGTTTTAAAGGTCCGTTGAAGGCAGACGCTCGATTTACCGTTGTCGGTGCTTTTGAAGGAGTTCATGAAAAGCTGCATTTTTGCCTACCGTAACCTATTCTCTTTAAGGGATACTGTAGGACCGGAAATATCCAGAAACAGGCCCGAGCCGCCATAAACAAGCAGCTATGCTAATTTGCATAGCTAATAACCGGATCCGATCCTGGCGGCCGATCTAATGAGAGAGAGAGAGAGAGAGCGGGAGAGAGAGCCAGTGACAGCTTGTTATTTGGCATGGTTCTGGATAGGCGCGTATCGGACAGGGATATTCCGGGAGCAGGAGGGGACCGCCTCCCGGGTACCAAAGGGCCCGGGGGGAATCGATGGGTGGGTCCCTCCCTTCTAGGGCCCCCATGCCTCTCTCTCTCTCTCACTCTCTCTCTCTCTCTCTCTCTCTCTCTCGCTCTCTCTCTCGCCCTGGTGGCCCCCTTTTCGGGACACCCGGCCCTTATTATTGGCCCGAGGGCACACACACGCCATGGCCATGGATCTAACCCCTAACCCCCAAAGGCCTTTCTGCACCCCTGGGGTCAGATTTCCCCGACGGCCTAATTTACATATTTTCGATTATTCTCTATTTTTATTGGCTTTAACTTTTTATCCGCGGGTTTTGCCGGGTTGTACTTTAAATGCGATTTTTTAAGTGGCGGAATCGTTTTTTAATATTTTTCTTTTCGGTCTCTTATGTTAATTTGCATATTTTAAGCAAGTTAAAATACTTGTAAAAATTTATTTTTTCCTTTGACAATTCGTGAAAACACGTCAATCGCTATTTTTTGGAATTTTCGGGAGCTGCGCGAGCTCTTTTGCGGCTATTTTGGATGTTTTTGGAGGTGTTTTTGACGTTTTTCTGCAATGAGCATCCTGATTATAATTATTTTAAGCATAATTTGAAATGAAAAGCCACATAAGACAATCATATACCTCGTAATCATTTTATTTTGAATTTTATTCGGCTTTTTAAGGCCATTTCCTAATTTTAATATAATAAACATAATTTTAAGTAGTTTTGCTATAACTTTTTCATTTAGCGCTATTTTAGGCTGAAATTTTGCAAAGCAATAGATTTTATGATATCCCATTTCTTGCAAAAATTTCGCAACGACTCGGGTCAGAGCAACGAATTTATGCCCGAAAAAAAAAATTTTTGGCGAAAATAGATTAGCATTGAGCACGCGTGGATTGGGCTGTACTCGGCGGTGTTGTTGTGGCGATGAATAAGCCGGCGAGTAGTGGTTGGACTGCCCCCCGTATGCGACAAGATAAACATCGGACATACAGGGGGGACCAGGCAGGTAAATATGGGCCGAGCACCACCTACTGCGCAAATGAAACGGCGCCCCAATTGCTACCTCGTAGTGCCTAGTAGGTACGCGTACGCGCCAGTACTATTTGCGCAATAGCCAATGGCCATTTTTGGAATTGGAAGCACTAAAAATTGGGTTGTGTCGCTTTATCAGGGCAAACGAACCTCTGACTTTTTCTCTCGCATTCATTTTTTTTCCTTTTTCTTGCGTATCGCATTCGTATAACGTAAATAGAGGAATTATATCTACGCTGTTTTTACTGTTGGAAAAAGATTTAAGTATACAAAAGAAAAATAGTTTTCGAGCAATAGTCCGAGGTTTGAGCAATATTTCTATTTTTATGAATTTTTGAAAAAGGTTAGGTAGTTTTTTCTATTTTAAAACGGGTTAAATTATACTAAAAACAATATTAAAATCCCTACTATTATATTTATGTGTATAGGGCGTTCTGGAAATACACAATAATTCGTCCCCCGATAAAATGCAGCACCAGCGCCATGTACGGAAATTTTGGGATTTTTGAGCTTTACCACGCTTTTTTTGTATTTCGTACAGGGCTTTCCGCGACAATCCTAACAACGGCTACGTTCCACTCCTCAATACGAATTTTACGTGCGCGAGTATGCGCAATTCATTCGGGCCACCTCTCAGCGATGAGATCCTGTGCAATGACAGATTTTCCGATAATTTCCTCAATACGGCTACGTAGCGCTCCACCATACATACTTCTGTATTTGTTGTCGTATGTCCTATTTTGATTTTTTTCGCCTCTATAATTTTTAGATGATTACATGCCGTAAGCGGTTGCCTTGCCGGAATAACCGGTCTAGAAAATAATCAGCTTCCAGACTTTTTAAAAATCTCTAAAACTTCTGCCCGAGTTGGTCCCCGGCGAAACATTGTTCTGCTCCCCAAAATTCGGCCCAGACAAACCGGGAGGACCTAATCCAAGGCCGGGCCCCCACTTTTTTTGGTGCTCACGTCTTCTGGACAGAGAGAGCGGAGCCCATCGGACTGGTCGTGTCTCGGGGTGGAAGAGGAGCAGGGGGAGCAGGAAGCGCTCCGCTCGAATTCTGAAGGATTTCGAGGACCAAAAAGTGCCGCACTTTTTTCGGGGGATTCCCCCTTCGGGCGTTCCGTTCCGCCCGGCTCCTCCGAACGCCCGCAATTTGTCATCTCCCGGACTGCTTTGAGACAAGATGGCCAGATGGCAGGCACGTCTGGAATGTTGCGAACTCGAGGTTTTTTGCAACGTAAAGAACTGCCGAGCCGCGTTATGGTAGCCCTGCAAACTCAAGTAGGCCCGTTACGTGTCGCGCTGCGTGTCGCGTTGCGTACCCCGTTTCGTACCACGTTGATTGCCGCGCTGCGTGGCACGCTGCGTTGCGTGTCCTGTGTCGCGACTAGCGCCTTTAGGCAAGACTTTTATGGCAAAGATACGGTCAAATCTTGTGATTCCGTTACGATACTCTTGAACAAACACATTTCTCATCCTGATTTCCATTTTTTCAAATCCATTTGGAGCTCTGGGGTTGACTTTTGGCTTCAGTACCCCTTTAAAAAAGGAGACATCTTTGTTTGATCAGAAACACAACCTTGCTTGGCATTGGTAGGGTCCAGGTTCGATTCCGAACGAGATCAAACGCTTTGCTTTTTGCTTTTTAAGTCACACGGAGATAAATGTGGGAATGCTGTTGCCATTGCGGGTCCCAAAATGGGCCCAGCGGGGGGCCAATGGGCCCTGAGGGCATCAAGAGCGCGATGGGATTACTAGTTTGACCGGCCAGCCATCCCAGGGAGGTCAACCCATTCCGGGGAAAGGGCCCAAATTTGGGGGCCCTCGCTTCAGACAGAGGACACGAATCAGGAAAGGGAGGGGGGCGATTCAGAGGGGAGATAGGAGCGGATCGGGATCTGGAGGAGGAGGAGGAGGGGGAGGAGAAGCTGGGGATCTATTAGGGCCAACGTTTGGCCGGGATTCTGACTCTCTCTCTCTCTCTCTCTCGCTCTCTCTCTGCTCTCCTGACCAACGACGAAATGGGCATTCCCATGCAAAGACGACGGCGCGGTCACCCATGAAATCGGCCCGGGTCGAGATGAGTCAGAAACCAAGCGGGTACTCCTACGCAGCGGGGTCAAGTTTAAAGGGCCAGGCGAGGCATGGCGATGATTCAACCGCGACACGCAACGCGGTCGTGTCTTATGCTACCAAATCGATTACGCAATAAAAGTAGCGGGAATGTATTTTACCAAATCTATTTCACGCGCAATCCCCACCCCAGCACAAAAACAGGTCTATTTTCAGCGGGGTTTCCGTTCGACAACTCCACCCGTTTTCACCGCGCCCGATTTGCATAATCCCGGCCGAACATAAACGTACCATCATGCGCATGGCATTTTGCATTGTTTTGCGGCTATAGTTTGGTGTATTTAGGCAAAAATTCACACTTTTCCTCCG